AACATGTATACCACAACTATTTCCAACCAAACTGATCGCACTGGAACCGGCCCCCTCGCCCGCTACGACGGCGCCGAGACCATGGCTGGTATCCCATCACGCAATGATATCGTGGCAGAATATGATAATGGGATGACCGCTATACTTCAGCAATGTTTATCTAATAAGCAATCCGTACACTTTATGCCTACTGCTGTAAGTGATGAGGCCGAATACATTAATGGAGTATCTACCTATATTTTGCGTATTAGTGGTTACTTGATTAATGGGCAAAAGGCTATCGTGAATATTATGGGTATTAAACCTTTCTTTGATGTCGTAGTACCTGAAGAGATACCACTATCTATGTTTAAAACTAAATTAGTGAAGATAATATCTAATATTCTTGGAAGTGCATCAAAGTTCGGGATCAAAACTATTAGTGCTTTCCCACTTCGAGGGTATCATACAGAAAAGAAACCATATATCCGTGTGAGAACATGGAACCACTATGACCGGTATAATGCATTAAAAGCAGTCCGTGCTGTTGGTATGTGTACAGCTTCGGATGATCTAAATTGTCAGTATTATTACCGCAAAGTAGCCCGTGAAGAAAGATTACCTCTTTCAAGCTGGGCGCTATTAAGCAATTATTCATACATACTGTCAGAAAATACTTATCTTTTCCAAGTATCCATGAAGAATTACAGCCCAATAAGCGATAACGAGTATAACAATCCATTGATTTCTTCAGCGCTTACGAGGGATCGAACTCTCGTTCTCACATGGGATATTGAAACATATAGCTCACGAAAAACAGGCGAGGTGCCTAATGCAGAATACGAAGAAGATATTGTATTCATGATTTGCATGACCATTCATTGGAAAGATGATCCTGAACCGTTAAAGCAAATCTGCCTTGTTGATGTTGAAACTGCGCCAGACCCACGGTGGATTACGATTATATGCGGATCCCAAGTTAATTTATTAAAAGCATTCGCTTTATGTTGGAAACTTTTAGCCCCGGATATACAAATAGGCTTTAACGATTCTCAATATGATTGGCGATTTATTGTGAAGAAAGCTGAGAAGTTGGGAGTTCTTGAATGGATGTTCAATCATATGTCAATCAAACCATCGAGTATTGAGAAAATTCTAAAATGGCAATATCAATATAATGCAATAAAGGTTAATGATGGAAAATTTCATTCAAAGCATCTTAAAATTCCGGGGTACGTGGCTATTGACGTTCGGCCTTGTTTTATGAAATTATATTCTAAGGCCGAAAAGAGCAGTTTAGCATTCTTCTTAAACGAATGTGGGCTCGAAAGTAAATTGAACATGTCCTTTCACCGCATGTTCAAGTATTATGAAGGGACACTAAAGGAGACCAATGATATAACGACTGAACAAATGCACAAAATAGCTGAATACTGTATCATTGATGCTCTTAGCTGTCAACGGCTAATGATTAAGCGCAATGTAATTAACGAATACAGAGAGGTTGCAAGCATAGCATTTATATCATTATTCGATACGCATTATTTTGCAGTAGGAATGAAAGTGCGTAATCTTTTAAACGCTAATGCATGGCGGGAAGGAATTTTAACCAGTACAATTCCATGTGAACAAACGGAAACGGGAAAATACCCTGGAGCATATGTCTTTCCACCAGTAAAGGGTCACGAAAATAAACGTCCTGTAACTGGCTTAGACTTTGCATCATTGTATCCGAGCCTTATTATGGTATATAACCTCTCACCTGATAAAATAATTTTATCTCGAGGACATGCCGAATCTCTAAAGAAAAGTGGTAAAAAGCTTCATGAAATCAATTTCAAATTCAATGGTCGAGATATTATTGCATGGTCTATAGAGCATGAAAACCAAGCCGAAATGAAAGGCCTTTATCCAAAAGTATTAGAGGAGTTGCTTATTAGACGAAATTCATTTAAAAAACGTCTCGCTCCATTAAAGGATAAAAAAGAAAAGTTAGAAAAGGAAATTAGTTTGGCGGAAGCAAGAGGCGAGGTTGTTACAGATGCTTTAAAATCCGAATACTCTTTAGTTTCCTTTAACGTCGCTTGTCTAGATGCAAAACAACTCGCTTTAAAACTTTATATGAATGCGTTTTACGGTGAAGCTAGAAATAGTGAATCTCCTTTCTTCTTGCGAAAACTAGCAGGTGGAGTAACATCAGCTGGTCAGCGAAATATCAAGCTTATTGCCAACCTTGTCAGAAGTAAAGGGTTTGGTGTAAAATACGGAGATACTGATTCATTATACCTTGTTTGTCCTGAAGAATATTTCCGGGAGTGTGATGAGAAATATGATTCAGAAGAGATATCAAAGGAAAAATATTGGGAAGATATGGTGAGAATATCTATGAAGGTAATGAGCGAACTCCGTGATAAAGTAAACGAATTTCTTAAAAAAGACAATGGCTCCTCATATCTTAAAATGGCATATGAGGAGGTTTTATTCCCTGTAGTATTTACTGGGAAGAAAAAATATTACGGAATTGATCATGTAAGAGTCCCAAATTTTAAGCCAAAAAAGCTTTTTATTAGAGGGGTGGATACAGAGAAGCGGGGACAGTCTAATCTTTTCCGCAAAATAGGAAAACGTATTATGGAAGAATCTATGAGAGTAAACAATAAACGTACCTTGCATCAGATTGTAGAGGATGTGCTCAAAGAAACTGTAAGGGATATTTTGCAGATAGATCTTAATGAAATAATTAAAACTGCTGTGTGGAAGCCCGATAAAAATAACAAGAGTGTACAGCACTTCATTTCACGAATGCGAGATAGACATACCCGTGAAGAAGCAGATGCCAAACGGCTTATAAAAAAAGGCCTAACACCTGAACTTTATCTTTATCAAATTCCAGAACCAGGTGAACGCTTTGAATATGTTATAGTTGAGAATAATTCATCACAGAAGGTAGGTGACAAAATGGAGTACCCAGAAGTGGCAAGACATCTTGGTAAAAAGATCGATATTAACTATTATCTGAAAACTGTTATCGGGCTCTGTGCGCGTTTTATAAATTATGGTGATAGATTCCAGCCATCATCTGAAATTTTGCTGAAAACCTTAAAAAAGTTAAAAGATGATAATGAAGTGGATGGAGATGAAGTGGATGAAGACAAAGTGGATGAAGACGAAATGGATGAAGTCGAAGTGGATGAAGACGAGTTATCAAAAATAAGAGACTCCTTAGCGCAGAAATCAGCTGAAAAGTGGATTAAGAGATATATCAAAGACCTACATGATGGACCGAAAAAAGATGAAGCTATCATATCCTATTTATGGAAAGAAGCTCGTACTTACGCGAAAAATTTATTTGATACCAATTATGCTAGTAAAATAGTAAAATGCTTGGGTAATGTTGGTTATTACTCTTCCTTTCTTGATGCACTAGATAAACTAGAAGAATACGTCCGCTTAAAGGTTTCATTATTGCTCAAAGAAATTTCTAAAATCAATGTACAGTACAAAGAAGAAATGTATAAATTAGTTACTAAGTCCAGTAAACGCAAATCGAAAGCTATGGCCTTAGAAAAATATATATTATTATATGATCTAGAAAACGAGTGTAAGCTACTAGCAGATTTCCGAAACACATAGTACAAAGTGGTTGGTCTAGAAATCACACGCTATCGAACATTATCTAAGTTACAGGAAGACAAAAAAGATGATTCGTCCGAAGCAGATATAGACGAAATCATCGAATTATATGGATAAGTACTCTTGGCTGAAATTTCCACACCTCCACTAGAATACTTACAATATTATTTATATATTTTTTCTCGTGCAATAATACCGGCTAACTTCAATTTCTATATTAGATCTGGTCACGAGATGCCCTCTTCCGGACACCGATCATACAGCCCGGCCTCGGATATGCCCGGAGATGTAATTCGTTAGTCTGAATGTATCGGTCACTTTTTTTCCACGAATCCCATATTTTTTTTCCAAATACAAACCATATAACTGCAATAAGAAATAAGATAAGTATGGAATATGCTATCATTGGTATCATTAAGGAACTTGCAACGACAGGGATAGCTGGTATTAAGGGCATTACTTGGGGTGATGGCACCACTTCTGCGCCACCTACAGGAATTATTTGGGACGAAGGATTAAGAGTAGAAAGGGTCCCTTCAGGATCAAGTTGCGATGAATCGTTCATAGACGGGGGTGAGGGATTAGAGAGATCTGCTATTTCATTATCTTTCTTTGAGATTATCTCTCGGAGATGAGAAATTTCCTTTATTAAATTTAATCGTGCCGAAGACAAAGTATCTATTCCCTGACTGGTTATCCTATGTGTTGCTTCTATCCCTTTTTCTATACACTCTATTGTATATTCTTTTGAATTAAGGTCCTCTTTTACTCGTTCCAATTCAAGCCTGAGAGAATCATAGGACACCTGATCTAGCTCCTTGTTCTCCAATTTAGCTTCCAATTCACCTACCTTAGTTTCAAGAGAAAGAATCGTGGCCTTATCAAGAGATGAAGCTTTCTGGGCTAAAGTCGCTTCTCTCTTCAATGTTTTAATAGAAGATTTGAGTGATTTTATTTCAGCTTCAAGCTCACGTTGACTCTCAGAATGAGACTTTCATTCAGAAATAAGTTGGGATCTAACCTTAGTAGTGGATTCATTCACCTGGTCAATCTTATTTCCAATATCGGCATAGATTTGTTGATATTCCTTCTCTCGTTCCGAATACTTATCAACCAACTTTTCATTGAGATCCCTAAGTTCGGCCTTAGATCTAAGAGCAGAATATAATTTTTCTTTAAGCTCTTGCTCATATTCACCACCAAGTCGTTGACCGGCCCCCCTAAAGGAACCATCACTTTTATTATTGATATCTTTCAAGGTATATACATTGGTCATAGCCTTTTTTTAGATTAACTACTAGTATAGAAAAAAAAAACATACAACTAAAAAAATTCTGGACCGAACGTATCGATTATACCAAATGAATCGAATTTACCGAAAATTTATCGATAGTATCAAATCTACCGAATATATCGAATAAATCGATTCTATCGAAAATATATCAATAATATCGAATAAATATCGAATGCATACCGAAAATATCGAAAATATACCGATAATTTTTTGAAGCATTTTTTATATCTATCTGTAAAAATGCTTCGGTATTTGCGCTCAGATGCGACCCCCCTATCTCCTGAAGATATTCAAGATATTATTAAAGCCAAAAATTCGATGAAGCGGGCATCAGAAGCAATGGCTAACAAATACAAAATATCAACACGACGTGTATATCAAATATGGAGAGGAGTTCATCCACCAACAGATCCTAAAGATATGTTTAGTATTCCAAAATTCCCAGATTCAGATCAGGTCAGATCTGGATCATTAGATACTGATTTGCTTCAACCACATTACATAGAAAGTAACATTATTTTAGGTAGTAAAGCGAAAAAGACTGGAGGAAAAAAACCCAAGTCTAAGTCTGCTGGCATCTCTGAACTATCTATTATCCAGAATCAGCTAACGCCTGAAAGCTCAGAAATTTTGAATATTAGCAAAGAGGATCTGAATGCATTTTATGAAAAAGAAGCTATCCGAGATGAAAAAATAAAGCAGAAATGAATAAATGTATACTAGCTATGTAAAAGATGTTTTGGTCCCAAAGGGACCTTTTTATTTAGTTCATCATAGCATACTAATAATTTCTCACACAATTCATTAAGCTCCTCTTTAGATTTAAGAGCATTATATAACTTTTTTTCGAGCTCCTCATAATTCATGTGTTTTTTTTTTTAATGTCTCATTCTCAGTTAGGTCTTGCGAGTCTTGCGAATTTTGAGAAACTTTGTCCGGAGCTGGCAGATCATCACATTCGGGAGTAATATTCGCACAATTCACCTTGAGCTTGTTCTTGACTTTATGCATAGTGACTGGAATGATATAATCCTTTCCATTATGAGGGAACTTTAATTCGTTTTTACCCCAATCCACGGCGCAATTATATTTCTTTAAAAGCTGGTTAGAAAATATTAGGGTTGGCTTGTTATATCTCACGACAACAAAATCTTCATGAATGGTAAGTCCAGGAGCTAGAGTAATAGGTAAATCACGAACCACTCCAATAGATTCAACTGGAATGGTAGCGATACCACTGAGATCATGTGTTTCAGACTTATCAATTTTAGCCTTTACGCGATCAACAATATTTTCGGTTACTATAGGAGGCTCTGCTCCAGAATCAAGAGTCATAGCAGGGATTTTTAAGCGCTTAATTTTACATCTCACAGTTGCAACGCTCGTGGGTGGCTCCCTCTTCTTGACGAAATCAATTTCCATAGGACCATCCAAATAGTCTTCCTCCTCTAAACTGGATTCATTCGGAGTTGAATCTTTGAAAGATGGTGGTGTGTCGTTTTGAGATTTTATCTTCTCCTGTATGGAAACTATCTGTTTGGGCACAACAGGACTAGAGTCTTGGGAAAAATATGCAGGAAAAATTAATTTAAGTTCGCTTTGGAGGATTTTACGAATAGTTTCCTCTAGTGGAGTTTCTCTCAGTTTGGCGCTAGACATCTTTTTAAGGGATGATTTCATGGAGCTAGAATCCTGCTTCACTTTTTTTTTGACTTAGCTATGTTAACGGTGATATCACCTCCAGAATCGGAGGAATCCTCTGAACTTCTATCAGAGTCAGAACTATCACTAGAAGAAGTATTAGAAGAAGAAGTACCTGAATCCGAATTCGAATCTACGGTAGCGATATTAACCTTACCCTTTTTAGACTTCTTACTTCTCTTTTTCTTCTTTCTAGAGCAATTTCGGGAATTATGTCCAGATCTTCCGCAGGTGGAGCATTTGTGACCTGATGATTTCTTAACAGCACGTCTAACAGCAGTTTTTATAACACTATTTAATGTTA